ACAAAGTTTAAAACATGTACTAAAAAACAACAATTAATATCATAAGCATAAATTAATGACTGTAAAAAAAATATACCAAGATCTATAACAGTAGAATGAAACAGAAAGGAAAAAATTGAGCCCACAATGCACAGTGTTCCCTTAAGGAAATTATTCCCCTCTAGTACCCGAGGTTTAATGGAATAGATCCTCTCAGGATGGAACAATTTTATTCACAAGTATATAGATATAAAAACAATGGTGTCAGTGAGCCCTTCAACAGGAGCAAAGTACTTGAATATTTAATTGTGCAGAAGAAGAAGAAGAAGTTCAGAATTTTCGTTGTTTGAGAGGAAATCCCTCTATTTATAGACAACAAAGGATAGTGTGAACGAATGCTTATTGTGCCTTATCGAAAATGTCACAACTCTTCGAAAAGGTCAGAACCTTTCATAAAAGTCACAATTTTTCATAAAAGTCGTAACTCGTCATGAAAATCGCAATTCTTCATAAAAGTCACAACTTTTCGTAAAAGTCACGTCTTTTCATGAAAGGGGATGACTATTTTTGGGTAACTCTTCATAAAAGTCGCAACTCTTCATAAAAGTCATAACTTTTCATAAAAGTCACATCTTTTCATGAAAGGGGAAGGCTATTTTTAGAAATAAATAAATCTAAAAGGAAATTCTAGCTTGTGGTGGCGCCACGTAGGCGGGCCTAGGGTTCTCTTTTATATAAATATATGATATGATGTCCAAAGACCTTTTCTAGGTCTTTGTACTCATTATGTCTAGCATTGAATAGACCGAATATTCACCTTATCAAGATCTCAAATCAATGATGAGGTCTGGTTGGCACCTCCTAAATGGGTGTCCAAATTGGACTGAATCCTTTGTCGGGCTATGGTTCCGTCAAAGATATGGAGTAAGACATTAATTTCTCAATAAGATCATTTTTTTATTGTATGATGAACCCGGTGAAAAGTACAGGAACAATTTTGTCCCTTTTCCCGTAATTTGAATTACAAGCCACAGAGTCAAAAGAAACTAATAAAATTGCATCCGAAAGATGAACCAACTAAATTTACAAACAAAACAACTGAGATAGTGGTAAAAATGTAAGAGCTTTTTGCCAACATAGCAAACACATACTCAAAGGAAACTTCATAAAGTTAAAACTTTTATGCATAACCAATAAGAGAGAGTGTACAATACAAGAGCATGCCAACTTCTAGGCCAATTTGTAAAACTCATACATATAGTAACCAAAAGAGTGCGCTCAGATGGTAAGCACCCTCCAATTCTAAACCTCAGGTTGTGAGTTCAAGTCACCAAGGGAGCGAAAAAGTGGGAGTTCCTGGGGAGGGGTAAAAAAAAAAGAGTGCTTGCTTATAGCTCTTTAAGATGCCTTTTCCAAGTTTTGCTGTCAAAGACCTATACATTTACAAAAGGCAAATCGAGCACCGTTGAAAGTTACTTACATGTCAAAATTTACCCAGTGTCAAAAGTATTTCACTATTATCAAAAAGAACTAACCACTGCTAGACGCCAAAATCATCACTTGTAGAATTGTCTGAAATCAGTTCTTGTTACCTGCAAGAAAATCAATACACCATCACTTTTTCAGTTTAAGCACATCAGTGTCTTGATTCTCAGCTGAGTGTTTAGAAGTTGACGCCATTTTGTTGTCTTCAGGTGCCACAAGCTTGGGAGCATCTGCTTTTCGCACTTATCAGGTTCTTTGATACTGCACTTGGATACATCAGATAAACTCGAGTTTATGAACGACTTTATATCTTTCTTTCCCTTAACTTCAAGCCATTTGTCATCAATCCAACCTCTTGAAGTCCTCATGTTCTTCCTTTGAATCTTCAATAATATGTTCTCGCCTGTTATTGAGAAAAAGAAAAACACCTTGGGGCATCAGGCCATGACCAACATTAATCATTAAAAATCCAAGACAACAAATTGGCCAGAAGCAAGGTCTATTGTTTAAAGTTTTTCCACTACTGAGTTAAAAAGCCAATTTATGATAATGTTGAGCTTAGACATATGATTTCAAGTAAGAATTGAAAATAATTAGAGACTCCAATTTTTCATTTATTGGCTGTTGAGTTATCCTTACGCGAAGTTGCTATGCATCAACCAATAAGCAAGAATTCTCCTTTTATTCCTTGTTTTCTATTTCTATTTTAACTTTTTAGTTTTTTGGGACTGATATTTCTTACCAGGGAAGTAAACCTGAAGATACCGCTTCCACAAACATCAAATCCAGCAACAAAACCTTCCCCCCATCCATCGGACCACCAAGCATCAACTGCAGCTCCTAGTTCAAAAGAAAAGTCAGAAGAATCCTCCAGAGGCCGTGGACAAACTGTGATGCATCCTGTGTATCTCATGCCCAATCTATCAGACCCTGCAACTCTGTAGGAAGGAATCCATTCCTACAAAATCAAGCAAAGGTGTTCAGGAAACAGGGTGAAAGGTGAAGGGTGAAGGGACAACATACAAGTCAATATATGTAAGTAGATCATAAGTCTTAGTATATTAACTTAAGTTATAGTAGCAGTGGTTAAGGTAACTCAAACTTTTCAGGACCATCATAATCCTGGATGTCATCATATTGAACTTTCAGACGTTTTTGTGATACCTGTAAGACCTTACACCTGAACCAGCAGCCTCTCATGCCACTATCGTGGCAAAGAACCTCTAAGTTGTCACCAACTTCAAAAGACAGATTATATTAACGCTCAACAAGCTGAATTCCAACCGACCCTATGCTTGGAAATTTTATTTTTAACTTTGTGTAAGTTGATGGTTTGGCTTTTGCTATCTGGTTACCAGGAATTGACTTTCTGATGCCAGAACACTCTCACCAACACTTCTAACAAGGATACACTTACATATCGCCCCTCGTCCAAAACGCCATGGAAAACAACTCTGAGCAATCGGTGGGTCAGTGGTTGGATACCCAGCGCAGCATCTCCTTGAGCAGCAGGAAGAGCAGTTGGAGATGTTCTGGACCTATCCAGGAAATGGAGCAGGTTAACGATTTTAAGAACCACCTACTTCCCCTTTCCCACATCAAGAAGATCATGAAAAGGATGTCCTCATGATCTCAGCTAAAAATAAGGACATTCAAGGCCTACAATTCCATAGGCAGCTAAAAATAAGGACATTCAGCTTGTGCCTGGAAAACTGAAATCGGGAACAAAAATCACAAAATAAAAATGGAACTGGAAATAACTTTTCACCATCTCCACTGCTCCCTCCCCAAAAAATCCACGGGGGAAGGCTTCTTTATGGAAAGAATAATCGCAACATAATTTAGTTTCTTTCCTGTCAAAGCATAAGATCTTTCATCTACAAACTCATCAAAAAGCATTTTTCATCTTCAAATTAGATTAGCGAAGCACAGTAGCCGGTGAATAGTTCACAAAAAGTGAGACTGATATTAGCCCATCAAATTGATAAAGTTTGGACATTCGCAGTACTTTAACATTGTTGCTTGTAGACATGATCATGAGGCATCTGTCATCTCTAGATTGATTGGATGTAACCAGTAGCCAATAATCTATGATCAACTTCTTCAGGAAATGCTAACTACTAGAAATGAGAGCATTTGATGTACATGTACGCCAATAGATACTGCAAATCTCATGTAACTAAAATCTTACTGCAACATGATTATACATACTTGAAATAGATGGTGATCGGTGATGCTTTGAAACCAAAAACGTCAGCCATTCCACTACCTCTTTTCCTGCATGCCACTTTGTGTCGGAATTCATGGTACTTGTGTGCCCAAAAGCATCCAAATAATCCTCTGAGACAACATATAGCATGTGCCTTGAACTTTTTTCAGTACCCACCACAACAAGGATTAACTCCCTTGAGGTATCCTTCAAGTAGTGGTGCACAACATGACGGCCCTTCTCCTGAGAAACAACGTGCTCTTCCATAAACTAAATACATGATTATCTGTATCCATCCTGATGCCACAGAGAAACAATCATTTTAGGCTAAAGAGTCATGAGTAAACATAATCCTCTAAGTTCTGTTACAAATTTAGGACCCGAACTGAAATGATTATAATTAAGAACATCATACAGAAAGTAGACATTTTTCCAACTATTCGCTTCTGATGACCATATAAACAATGAAAAAACAGCATCAAACCACAACCCCAAATGAAACACAGACAAAATTTTGCTCAATACAACTCAGCTACAAAGAACACATTTTTTTTTCAAGAATTACCAATAAAGCCCAAACCCACATGAAAAACGAAATGGGATTCGCTGATTTTCAAAGATTAACCATGTACAAGAACAAAAACACACAATATTGAACCAGCATTGAGCAGACATCAAGTGATCACACTTAAAACAAATAGCTTAGGGTTGTAAGTGGAAACAAGCAATCAAAAAATAACCCAACAAGCTAAGCATGTAACTGACTTCAAAATTAGCCAAAGTTTGTTGCTTTGTGATAAAATAGAGCTTGAGAAGGCCTAAAGAGTATCCTTCTGGTCATGGGAGCCAAGGTTTTGCTTCTTTTATTTGGGACCTAAAAAAGAAATCTATTTAATTAAGGAGATGATTTACTTGGAAGTACAAATTTAATTCTAAAATTAAACTAAGGCCTGTTTGGAAAGTCATTTTCGTAATTGAATTTGATGTAATTGGGTATCAATCAGCAGGTAATTTTGGTGTAATTGGTATGAGTAATTACACTTTTCATTTCACAGGGAGGGATTGTGAATTGCTCGAATTACATGGTATAATTACAGGCTACTTATTAATTTTTAATTTTTAATTTTTTGTTTTAATATGTTTTTTATTTTTATTATTTTAAATTCTTCATAAAAAATCATTAATATAAGGTTGTTATGGACTCACGTGTTCCTTTTCTTTTAATTCATATTTATGTATGTTATGTTGAAATTTGACATTAGAATACTATGTTAAAAAGAAAGTGGCCCTCTCTCTAAAGGGGCTTATGCACTCCATGACTTTCTAATGTTATGGACAGTTTAGAAAGAAAGACGTGCAAATTGAAACGGAGGAAGCTGCCCTTGCAGATAAGATGATCGAGATACGGAACAGGGAACTCGCGCGCTTCAGAATCCCTTTCAGATAGTAGGACCCCTTTGTGAATTTTTCGTTTTGAATTTATAACTTATGCTATATTTTCAATTTCATTTAGGAGTATTGACTTGATATTTTACATTGAAACTATTTTTTTAAGTTAGACTTGATAGATTATCTTTTTGTCAAATGTATTATAATTTCAAGACATTATATTTATAATATTAATCTTTTTGTCAAATATGCATTTTATGATGTACATAGAAATTTTGTACTTTTAGCTTTTATGATTAGTTTAATTAAAAATATATTAAATTAAAAAATATAAATCAATTACATTAACACGTGTAAGGTAATATGAAACGGAGGGAGTACTTATTTCAAGTATCACTCTTTTTCCTAATTATTCACCAAAGAAAAAAAAAAAGATCCATACAAATTTTTACCTTCAATTATTTGGGTGTTTCCACGTAATTAAGCTCATACATTGTACTAAATGTACGTTTTAAAGTTTAAACATTTGGAATTTGGATACTCATAAGTCTAACTTGATTACGATCCAATCCATAATGCATAAACCAGGATATATTAAATAGCCATTACAACTAATTAATCGTAATTAAATTAATCAAGCACGTACACCATCCTAATTAATTCTCTAATTAGTTAGCCAAGAAGAACATCTTCAATAATAGTGTAGTCGATTTACTTTCTCATTTTTCATTTTACTTGGCCCCTCTATTTTATTTTTTTTAAATAATCAATTTATTTGTCCATTTTGCGAATTAAGAGGGTTTTGTTACTTCCGATTTTTTTTTACTGTCCTTATTATTTTGTTAACTAGCTACCTAAACTAAGTAGAAATAGTCAAATTTAGAATTCTAAAACATCATTAATAAAGTAGTTTCGTAAAAGAAACATTTACAGTAATTTCTTAAAGGGTGTGTCAAGTCAACATGAGTCAAGTAATTAATATAAAACAAGAGTACTATCGAAATTGAATAAAAACCCTTGAGATGCCAACGTTTAATTGGACCAGTAAGCATATCCTATTTCTTTGATTTCATTAAAATTAACTATTAATCAATATATCATTTATAAAAAAAACTCACGTATTTGATTAATTTCCCACATTATATTTACTCTTCACCTTCATATCATAAATCCCTATTATAGCACCTTGTTAATACTAATCCCACGTCCTCCATTTTTTTTCCTAAGCAATTATCACTCGAATTAATCCCACTATCACTTTGCTAATTAAAGACATGAAGAATATTACTCTCATGACCATCAAAATTGTTCTACTACTTACCCTAGTTTCATGGATTAATATTCTTCAAGCTCACCCTATAACCACATCTAGTACTGGTTGTACTACTACACTTATGACACGTCTAAAACTACAAGATGAAGAAAGGTTCATCACGGGATTCATTATTCAAGCTCCAAGCATGCACGGGGCCGGGAATCGTGCTTTTCTTCGTTAATGGTGAAACCTATCTAGGTCAAGATTGTTG